GCTTTATATGACCTGTCCTAATTAGAATGGTTGAAACCAGAGAAGAAATGTGACTAACAAAAATTAATCATATGAATTATTTTAATCATATGGTGCATCGTGTAGGGACACACACACACACTTTCAAATACCATAAATGACATTTTCAGCCCTGTTTCTGTGGAAACCAAGAAGACCGTATGGAAGAAGGTCATCTTCACCATGTAGTCTCAGATAGTCTTCAAAAGGCAATCCAATAGCATACATTTATATCAGAAAATTAGTTGTACTAAAACAATTTTAGAAAGCAACACTTCATTTTCTCCTTAAATATGCCTGTACTTCTAAACAACTATGACTGAAGCAATACTAATGATATTTTTACAAATGTATTCTTTTGAAACTTGCTACCATTGACTCTCTCTCTCTCTTTTGTTTTGTTTTTAGCAAGAGACACCTGGATTAACTCTTTTAAGACTATTTTTTTTTAAACAACAGCTTTAGATTCACAGTAAACTTGAGATGAAAGTACAGTTTTCCCACATATTAACACATCCTATAATCACGCATTAACATTTTGTAAACTATTTTCAACTCTCATGTAGGTACATTTCTTTTTTTTCTGATCCATCATTTTATTATGGAGAATTTCAAGCAAATGTAAACGTAGAGAGTGGTACACTTCCCATATATCCATGACCCAGTCAATCGTTAAATAATGGCCAGGCAGGTGTCTTCTTTATGTCCACACACTTCACACACTTGCTGGCCCTCCCTAGATTAGGTTGAATTACAAATAAAAATTTGTAACATCATCAAAGAGCTATTTACTTAAAAATTGTTCTCAGTTGTTTTTTGAATGCTTTAATTATAGGAGTTTATTTGATCTATATTTAAACATAATCCATAGATTGTATTTGGTTGATACCACCCTTAAAGTTTCTTAATCTATACTTTCTTTTTTCTTTTATTTCTTTCTATCGATCAGTTTAAAATCAGTTTATTTGTCCTGTAGATTTTCTCATTGTTTAAATTTTTATGATAGACTGCATTCTCTTGGTATCATTTTACATGCTACTCTGTCTCTGTGTTAAATCTGGAGGTGAAATACAGAGAGCTTGGTGTGATTGATTTTTTTTAAAGAATATTTCATCATTGCTATTAGGTGCTTCTATTATGAAGTAGATATTCTCTCTTTTTGTAATCTGAGTAGCCATTGATAGTCACTTTCTGGATTCATTATGTGGGATTTAGAAAGTAGTAATTTTGTAATTTCATCATTCTTAATTTATTAGAATATGCATATATATTTTTCCTCATTATGTATGTAGTTACTCAGAAATATATTTTATACAAGGAAAACAGATCAAACGCCTTTCCCTTTACATGTCAGTTTTAATAATATAAGTATATATAACATTTCCAAAGGTAATTACTAGATTTTCTCTTTTTAGTACAATTAGGAACTCATGATTTTTGAAATATTAGATATATTTTAATATAGCTCAGGCATATTTATTGATGTTAAAAATTATCCCATCTTTGGATACAGTCTGCTCCAGTGAGAGTATTTTTAATGCGGTCACTGTGTTGTTCTGGCAGCAGTAGTCTTTGGAAGTTTACCTTCTTTATGGTGTGATGAGATGAGAACTGTGAGAGTTCTGACAGAGAATTGCAATGCCAAGTATCATTGACATCTTTACTTGTTTTCATTGTCTCTCAACATTTTAAAATACATAGCAATATGATTACTAAAAACAGGTTAAAATTTAGTTTGTCATTTTTTTTGTCTTTTGGACAGTCAACCTACTTTTTTAAAAATCACTTAAAATAATTCCTCAGTGTAAGCCACCACTTAAATATGGAATTAAGTTCATTTGTTTTATTTTTATCTGAAATTTTTAAGAATGATTTTAATTTTGTTCATAAATATGTAAAATATAATATGTGAAACAGTTACATGGTTTTAAAGTCAAATTTATAAACATGATATATTCAGAAAAGTCTATGTTTTCCTATCTTTTTTATTTCATTTATTATGCCCCATTTCTCTAAGAAACATCTAAGATATTTTCCTATATTAAAATACTTATGTTTTGTTGTTTAGCTCATGAGGTGGGGGGGCTGGGATGGGAGAAATAGACAAAAAACTGTACTTGAAAAATAACTAAATAAAATTTTTAAAAAATGCAAAAAAAACCCACTTATGTATTTCCTCCCCTTAGAACAATTGCAGTCTCCTATGTACGTTTTTCTTCACTGGGCCATTGTTTACTTACGCTGTGTCCTGGAGGTCATTCCACAACAGCATACAAAGATGTATTTCAATTACTTACAGGTGTACACAAGTCCTCTGTTTTACCATATGTCATTCAATCAGTCCCTTTCGATCATGAACATTGAGCTTTACAGCTTTTTGATAACGTAAAAGTTTTACAATGAATGGTGATGTGTAAGTCAACTTATATCCAAGTATATCTCTAGTATAGCTGTCTAGAACTGGAATTGCTGGGTCAAAGGGCAAATACAAAGGTAATTTTGCTAGTTTTGCTCCTCTACAGGAGTTGTGCCATTTTACAAATGCATTTAATTGTACAGCAAGAGACTATAAATTTATATAGAGTCTACTTAAAGACTAAATATGATATGTCAACACAAAAAAATTATCTAAAATCTGAATTGTATTTTATTAAGGTTATTCTTTATATACATACATATATGTACAGAACTAATATATATATATATGTACACAGTATATATATAACTTCTGTCATGATGGAAGCTTCTGGAACAGATAATATATGCTAAATCTAACCCATTATAACTATGCCATACAAAATTGTCAATATTCCCATAATACATTAGCATTTATAAGATACTATTGTCTATGAAACCAATTTGCTACCACATGATTCACCTTTTTGTTAGAAACTTAACTGGAAGAGAAATGATAAATTTGCCCATTGTCTATACCTCAAAGTAGATATTAATAACCCCTTTTCATCATCAGCCATAACCTGTACACTAGAAAGCCATCTCAGAAAGTCACTTACGTTTAGACTTAGAGAATGATGAAAATTTGTAAATGTCATTTTAAGTACATAGATTTGCTTCTTAAGGGTGTCTTGGCATGGGTTGCTATTATGCTCCTCTGGCTTAAAACTGTTGAGTAATGAGATGACTGACAAATCCAAAGTAATAGGCCTGAAGCCTTCTTAAACTACTGCTCCTAAACCTGCTTCTCTTTATTGATATAACGAGAGGGAATTAATTTTAAAAGGTGGTGATTATTGATTACTTAATGGCAGAAGATAGTGCAGAGAAATGCTGAAGCGAGCCCCTTCTGTACCCTCCTGGGCAACATGACCCCATTATCCCATGGTGGAAATCATGCTGTAACCCTCATTAATATTTAATAGGCAGGAGGCAGGCTGGACGTAGGCTACAAATTTGCTCTAAGCATAGGTTCCAATAGCCCATATGACTGTTTCAAATATATAAAAGAATAACACATGTCTCTGTGTTCAGATAGTTCCTAAGCAGTACAACCCTGCATTCAATTCCCTTGTGTGATTGATCTCTGGGCAATGATGACTTGATGGAAATACCTATTGGGCAAGTTGGAGCGATTAATGCTTTGGGAAGTCACTCCAGATTAGTAAACTGTGCATGAAAAGGCTTTGTATTTTCCAGTGTAGTTCTCAGTTTCAGCCGCCTTCTTTTTCTCCTCTTGCCACAAGCTGAAGGGCTTGTTCAGCAGGAGTGGCAAGTCAGCAAAAGGCATTAATTGTGTCTAACATAGCCATCATCCTTAGGGTATATATTCTGTATCACACTGCCTATCAAGCTAACCCATTGTCACATGTCATGACCTTTTTTATTTCAGCTCATTTAAAAGGAAAACAAAGAGTTTTCAAGGTAGCTGTTAGGGAGAGATGAGTATAGGAGTGCTTGAAAGGACTAAGAGTCACTGATGCTAATTTGAACTAAAGTGGGTTGTGACATCTGAAAGGACAATGCAGTTTTATAGATTACCTGCTCTCATCATCAGAGTTTATAATCACCAGGTTGTTTTTCAGTACCACCAGCTTATTTTGAAGATATAAGCTTGAAATGAGAGTAAGTTCTTAAAATAGAACATATTCTTGGATTGTGGTTACCAAAAGAATGTAATATCAAATATCTACCTTTTCTAAACAATAATATAAAATTAAATAGACTGAAGAAATATTAATTTTTGACTCAATGACTAAAGATTTTTGCAAATGTGTTTAGAAGAATCATTTACTTTATAGCATATCAGAAATTGTTTATAATTGCCTGCATAGAATAAATTGCATGAGAATAAATATTTAGCTTTGCAAGACATAAAGTAACCAAGGGAGCAAATCTTCTATTAACATAATTGAGTTTTTTCCTCAAAACCAGTGAATGAAATTGATCTGAGGGTTCACTGTAATTTCATGTTAAATGTGGAAAACTTCATTTTTACTTGAAAACTTAATGGTGTGTGCCTAAATGTTGTCTTTATTTTATTAATAAGTATATGTGCATATCTTCTCTTTCTAACATCAAGTAGAGAATTTCACAAATTAGCAGGAGTTAGCAGCAGAAATGTACTTGTATTCATTTTTTGAGAGATATGATCTTTATGAGGCATAGTGTTCTAGGTACTCAGGTGCTTTTTTGTTTGTTTTCTTGTTTGTTTACTAGTTGGTTGGTGGGTTAGTAACATGTGTCATTCACATGAGCAAAATTAGTACTGTAAAATAAAAAATAGTTTTCCTCCAAAGTTTTTAACACTATAGCATAAAACATATGAAGGCACTTTATCAACTGTAAAATTACAATGTTAATAATAGTTATAACTTCAGTGCCTTTAGTTATTCTATCGAGAACTTTTTTTAATAATGTGTTTGCATAACTAATGCTTATTGAACCATAATCTATTTTGTGCTTTTATCTGTAAAAGGCACAAATCCTAAACTTTATCTTCTTTTCCTTTCATTCCTATTTTATAGCGCAGCAGCAGCTTTGGAAATTTTGACCGTTTTCGGAATAATTCTGTATCAAAACCAGATGATTCAACAGAGGTTAGTGTTTATTATGTTTTTATGAATAATGCAAACATATGAAAAATTATAAAGCCACTATCACTTTTGTAGAGTATAGTAAAAAGCAAATGTTTAAAATCATAGCCTTGCATATATTTTCATGATAATGAACAAACAATTCTTTAGTCCCTAGGAAGTACCATGTGGGAGTAGAGAGCTCTCTAAAAAGCCTAACTGATGTTTGGGAAGGCAGAACATGAACTTAAGAGGAGACTTATACATAATGCAGACAATTCCAAATTTCCTGCGCATTTCTACCATAAAACAATATATATGTTAAATTTCATTTAAGTTGTGCCTTCTTCCATTTAGGAGATGGTTAAATAGCTTAATAGTAAATTTCCTAAGGAAAGAAGACGGCTTCTCAATTGCATTTACACTTCTACCACCTGCATTGAAATGTCTCAGTGGTGCCTGTTCCACACACATTTGCAAACCATCAACGCTTTAAATGCAGCTTAAGGAAACCTTCTGCATTTTGTATGGGTACCACATATGATGTATGTGGTTTAGAGCAATAGGTTTTAGATTTTACTCACTTTTAATTATTCATTCTAATTACTGTATCTTTATTTTTATTTTTCATAAAACTTTTTTCTTTCTTGGATCTAATTTCTCAAAATACTTTTCAGATTTCTACATGCATATATCTATAACTTTTTACTTTTTAAAAAAATTATGTAATTATTGTTCAAATACAGTTTTCTATCTATAATATTTTAAAATATGTTTAAATAATTATTCTAGACAAAAATGTGAAAATAAAATGACATCTATTATTACTTTATAAATATCTTTATTTGTACTACATACGCACGTGTATATAACATACCCCCTTTTATAGACATGTTATATGCACTCCCTTTTATCCATGTATAAGTTTGTGTACACATGCTTATGGAGAAACATATATGTATATATATGTATAAACACCCTGCGTAATTTTATTTTCAGCTAACATATTGTATAAACCTTTAGCTTTCCATGATCCTAGATAGCTATACCCCATTGTTATTAAGTTTATAATTATAGAGTTAACCTAGAAAGTTTCTCAGGCTCATTCGACCTCACCAACTAGTAACAGTGACCTGGTATTTGTGAAAGTTTGGTGAACCTGGTCATGTAGATTGCACATTTTTCAGTAATCTAGCATTCACTCATTTAACAAATATTTATTTATTCACTTAACAAATATTTATTCTATGACAGAATTTCTGTTAGGCACTCAGAAAATACTGTTACAATAACAGACAAAAATCCTTACTTAATGAAGCCCAGAGTCTAAGGAGAGACAATTAAAACAACAGCAAAATAAATAAATAAATTTTTAAATAAAATTGTGATTCAGACTATGAAAGAAAGCAGCATAGATAAATGTTAAAATCAAAAACATGTGCAGGTAGTTTCTTTAAAGCTTCTGAAAAGAATGATAGAAAAATCTTAATCTCCAAAATATACAAAGAACTTACACGACTCCACTCTAGGAAGACATCGAACCCAATTAAAAAATGGGAAAAGGACTTGAACAGACACTTCTCTAAAGAGGACATACAGAATATCCAGAGACACATGAAGAGATGCTCAATATCATTAGCTATCAGAGAGATGCAAATTAAAACCACAATGAGATACCACTTTACACCAGTCAGGATGGCTATAATAGACAAAGCAACAAACAACAAATGTTGGAGAGGGTGTGGGGAAAAGGGGACCTTAGTTCACTGTTGGTGGGATTGTAGACTGGTACAACCATTATGGAAAACAGTATGGAATTTTCTCAGAAAAATAAAAATTGACCTGCCTTTTGACCCAGCAATTCCACTGCTAGGATTATACCCCAAGAATCCTAAAACATCAATTTCAAAGAACCTATGCACCACAATGTTCATAGCAGCACAATTTACAATAGCCAAGAGTTGGAAGCAACCTAGGTGCCCATCAGTAAATGAATGGATCCAAAAATTGTGGTACATATACACCATGGAATTTTATGCAGCAGAGAGAAAGAAGGAGCTACTACCTTTTGCAACAACATGGATGGAACTGGAAAGCATTATGCTGAGTGAAATAGGCCAGGCATTGAAGGACAAATACCATATGATCTCACCTTTGACAGGAAGCTAAAGAATAAAACAAACAAGCAAACAGAATAAAAACAAAGAAGCTGAAATAGAGAACAAGTGGGCAGCGACCAGAGGGGAGAGGGAAGGGAACTTAAGGGGAAAAAGGGGGAGGGATGTTGAGGAACAAGTATGAATGACACAGAGATGAGGACTGGGGGGGGGGGGAATGGGAGGGAGGGGGGAGACCGGGCGGGGGGGGGGGGGGGAAGAGAAAAAAAAATGTACTTGAAAAGTAACCAAATAAAATTAAAAAAATAAATAAGTAAATAAAATAAAAATAAATTAAAAAATCTAAAATAAAAAATATTTGTGGTAATTTTTAAAGTTCAGGCGATGGTAAATAAATATAGGTGGTAATAAAATAATATACTTTCTTCTGTATTTTAATTTGTAATTTTATTTCAATTTTAAAGATTTTATTTATTTATCTTTAGAGGGGAAGGGAAGGAGAGAGGGAGAGAAATATCAATGTATGGTTGCCTCTTGTGAGTCTCCTGATGGGAACTGGCCTGCAACCCAGGCGTGTGCCCTGACTGGGAATCGAACCATGGTTGCTTGGTTCCCAGGCCCACGCTCAATCCACTGAGCTACACCAGCCAGGGCTAATTTATAATTTTAAATGAAGATAAAGTTTAAATAGAGAACAGAGAGAAGAAAAAATCTAACTAAAATTTCAAACCATTTTCAAGTTATATTTCATTGAGGGTTTTTTGAACTAAGCAAAGAATCTTTGTCTTTATAACCTTGAATTGTAGAAATTAATAAAGTGCAATGAGGGCTTAAATTGGCTGTCCATTCATATTTATCACAGGTACTTTGGGGTAAGACATGAAGCAAAATGTAGTATTGATTAATAATGGTGTTAACTATATGGTTAAACCTTCATATTAAAATTTTCAAGTTCACTAAGTAGACGTTTCCATGATATTTATATTCAGGGAATGACTAGCTGCCCACTTATTTGGAATGGTGAGCAACACTAGACTAGATCACCTTCAAGAGTCCTTTATTACAACCCTGAGATATTAAGGCTATGTCACCCAAATCTGTCCTCCAAGGAAAAAAAATCACTCCAAAGTTCTACATGAGAAGTTTTGCTTATTAAAAATATATTGTGTGTTAGTTATACTCTTAGAGGTATTCTAAATACCCAGAATACATAAAACAGGTAAAGTCTCTAGTCTCATAGAACATACAGCATAGTGGGATATTCGGGCAATAATCACATGAACAAATACATTATCGAGTACCATTAAATGTTTAGAAGAATAAATCAGAGTATACATGCAGGGAGTATGGACAAGTGAGAGCTACATTAAATAGTGTTATCAATCAGAAAACTGCTATCTTGCTACTTGGCATTTGATTATAAACCTGGATGAAAGAAGGAATACGTTTGTGGACTCCAGGGAGGTCAACAGCAAAGGCAAGTGCAAACATTGATGGGAACATGAAGAGAGGCAGCAACAGGACGAACATGGCAATGCTGGATTACACTCGTTTCTAAGCTTTAGCATGTTTCAAATCACTTGAAGCATTCGTTAAAACATAGGTCACTCCAAGTGATGCTGATGTTGCTGGTCTTGGGGCCACATTTTGAAAAACACTGCTATAGTGAACAAGGGAAATATGAGAAGTAGTTAAAGGTGATGTGATGAATATATTCTATTTCACGTATTCTTTGTATACTGTAATATTTATTACATTATAAAATATGTTAATTATATTGTTACATTATTTTATCTTATAGAGAAATATTAGGATTAATGCTTCTTAATGTTCTATTATCCTGTCTTTTATAAACAATTCTAACTAGGTGAATGAGGAAGAACTCATGAATGAAAGTGGAGAACAAAATAAAAATTCAAATAATGGAAAAGGTTTAGGTAAAAAGATGAGAGCCATTTCTTGGACAATGAAGAGAAAAGCAGCTAAAAAGTACGTCAAAGCCCTTTCTGAAGAAAAGGTAAGTGTACTCTGTTAATCACTTCTATATTTCATTAAATTTTTCTTAAAATGTTTAACATGTTCTTCTAGATGGAGAAATGCTTATTCTTTATGGAGGAGTTCAACATCTATTTTTCCCTCAATAATTGTGCCCAGAAGTTGGGTGGAAGAAAGTGCTGTTACTCATGTTCAATAGAAGAAACTGAAGTTCAAAAATATCACACACATGTAGTACCTGAAGAATATATATCATTTATGTTGTAGAAAATATCAGTATTCATTTCTTTTTATTGCCAAATAATATTTCATTTTATAGATTAGCTACATTTTATTTATCTTTTCATCAGTTGATGGACATTTGTATTACTTCTACTTTTTTGGCTGTTATAAACAGTGGTGATATAAACATTTGTGTGCAAAGTTTTGCATGGAAATTTTTTTTAACTTTTTTTATTGATTATGCCATTACATTTGCTCTATTCCCCCCCTCCATTCCCCTCCACCCTGCATACCCCTCCCCCACCATTTCCCCCTTTAGTTCATGAACACGTGTCTCAAATTCTTTAGATTCTGTATTTCCCCTGCTATTCTTACCCTCCCCCTATCTATTTTCTATCTACTGTCTATGCTACTTATTTTCTGTACCTTCTCCCCCCTTCCCCTCCTCCCACTCCCCTGTTGCTAACCCTCCATGAGATCTTCATTTCTATGGTTCTGCTCCTGATCTAGCTGTCCTCTTAGTTTGCTTTTGTTTTAGGTGTGGTTCTTTTTTTTTTTTTTTTTTTTTTTAAATTTTATTTAGTTATTTTTCAAGTACAGTTTTTTGTCTATTTTTCCCATCCCAGCCTCCCCTGCCCCTTGCTCCCCACCCCCCTCCCATTTCCTCCCCCCCCCTTAGTTCTCGCCCCTGTGTCCTTCCTATTTGTTCCTCCAAATCCCTCCCCCTTTTTCCCCTTAACTTCCCTTCCTTGTCCCCTCTGGTCACTATCCCCTTGTTCTCTATTTCAGTGTCTTTGTTTTTTTTGGGGTTTTTTTTTTCTGCTTACTTGTTTGTTTTGTTGTTTAGCTTCCTGTTAAAGGTGAGATCATATGGTATTTGTCTTAATAACTGTGAGTTTGCTGTCCTTTCACTGTTCATCTTTTTTATCTTCTTTTTCTTAGGTAAGTCCCTTTAACATTTCATATAATAAGGGCTTGGTGATGATGAACTCCTTGAATTTGGTCTTATCTGAGAAGCACTTTATCTGTCCTTCCATTCTAAATGAAAACTTTGCTGGGTAGAGCAATCTTGGTTGTAGATCTTTGGTTTTCATGACTTGGAATACCTCTTTCCTGCCCCTTCTTGCCTGTAAGGTCTCTTTTGAGAAATCAGCTGACAGTCTGATGGGAACTCCTTTGTAGGTGACTGTCCCCTTATCTCTTGCTGCTTCTAGGATTCTCTCCTTCATTTTAATCTTGGCTAATATAATTATGATGTGCCTTGGTGTGTCCCTTCTTGGGTCCAACTTTTTTGGGACTCTCTGAGCTTCCTGGATTTCCTGGAAGTCTATTTCCTTTGCCAGATTGGGGAAATTCTCCTTTATTATTTGTTCAAATAAGTTTTCCACTGGTGGTTGTGCCTTTCCCCCTTCTGGTACCCCTATAATTAGGATGTTGGAACGTTTAAAGATGTCCTGGAGGTTCCTAAGCTTCTCTTCATTTTTCTGAATTCTTATTTCTTCATTCTTTTCTGTTTGATCATTTTTTTCTTCCTTCTGGTCCACTCCCTTGGTTTGAGTCCCAATTTTCTTTCCATTACTATTGGTTTCCTGTGTATTTCCCTTCATTTCAATTAGTTTAGCTTCCATATGTTTCTCTAATTTGTGACTAAAATCAACCAGTTCTGTAAGGATCCTGATAACCAGTGTTTTGAACTGTGCATCTGAGAGACTGGCTATTTCTTCATCACTTAGGTCTATCGGTTCTGGGGCTCTGAGTTGTCCTAGAGCCATTTTTGGTCTATTCGTGCTGTTAAGTAAGCGGAGCGAAGTCTTAGTTGTTTACCAGGACGGGGAGACCCAGGTCGCTGGTTTGTGACGCTGTGTGTGGGGGCGGGGTCAGAGAGGGAGCAATGGCAGTCCTCTCCGCTAGCCCAGCCCGCCTCAGTCACACCACACGCCTCAGGCTTGTTTATCCGATTGGAATTGTGCAAGGCTGCTGCCCCGCGCAGGCTTCCCTCCTCACTGGTTTCTCCGCATGCAGGTGCGTGACCGACCTGCAGGTGCGCGACCTACCGCAGACAGCCCGCCGCGCCTCTTCCCTGTGCGCTCCCGTAGCTAGCTCGCTCACGATCAGCGCTTTTGGCTGCTCGCTCGCTCACTGTGCACCGCCCGGGAATTTTTTCTTGCTAACCTGCTCCGCTGCTGGCTTCGCTCCTCATACCGGTCCAGCTGAGTATCTAGTTGTCCTTTGGACTCCGTATTGTCGATTTTCCGTGTGGCTTGGTTGTGACTGCTGTTAAAAATAGTTGTTCTTAGATTTGGTTGTGCACAGAGGCAAGGTGGTTCCTCCACCTACGTCTCCATCTTGGCGGCGGAAATTTTTTTTATTCTCTTAGGTATATGGTGACTCTAGTATTTTGAGAAACTAAAAAACTGTTTCCTAAAGCACTTGCATCATTTTACATTCATGCTAGCAATGTATAAGGTTTCCAATTACTTCACATGCTTGTCAGCACTTGATATTGTCTATCTTTTTGATGCTAGCCATCCTACTGGGTGTAAAGTGGAATCACAACGAGGTTTTGATTTGCACTTCTCAGAAGACTAATGTTAAGATTCTTTTTATGTGTTTACTAGCCACTTGTATATCTTCTTTGAAAAAAGGTTTATTGAAATCTTTTGCCCGTTTTTTAATAGGCTCATATTTTTATTATTTATCTTTAAGTATTTTAAAAATATGTTCTGGATACAGGTCCTTTATCAGATGTATGATTTGCAATACATTAAATTTTTTCCCATTCTGTGGATTTTATTTTCACTTTCTTGATGGTGTCATTTACAGCACAAATATATTTATAATTTTGATGTGGTGCATATTTTATCTCAGAAATCATTTGTTTAAGTTTTAAAAGATTTACTCCTATCTTTTCTTTTAGAGGTTTTATAGTTGTAATTCTAAAATTTTAGTGTAAAATTCATTAATTTTTCTACATGGTATGTTGTGGGAATCCAACATCATTCTTTTTTTCCATTCTTTTTTATTTTTTTATTTAATTATTTTCAAGTACAGTTTCTGTCTTTTACTCCCATCCCGGCCTACCCCTGCATGCTCCCCACCTCCCTCCCATTTCCACCCCCCTTAGCTGTTGTCCATGTGTCCTTTATACTAGTTCCTCTAAATCCCTCCCCTTTTTCCCCTGAAATTTCCTCTCCTCTCCCCTCTGGAGACCAACTTCATTCTTTTGAATGTGGATATCCAGTTGCCTTAACACTTTGTGAAAAAGAAGTCTTTCCCCATCGTATTTATTGTCTTGGCACTCTTTTTTTATAATGGTTTTCTTTTTTAAATTTTATTTATTTATTTTTCAAGTATAATTTTCTGTCTATTTCTCCCATCCCAGCCCACCCCTCCCAGTGCCCCCCACCTCCCTCCCATTTCCACCCCCCTTATCATCCCTGTGTCCTTCATACTTATTCCTCTAAATCCCTCCCCTTTTTTCCCCTTAAATTCCCTCCCCTCTCCCCTCTGGTGACTGTCCCCTTGTTTTCTATTTCAGTGTCTTTATTTTTATTTTGCTTGCTTGTTTGTTTTGTTTTTTAGCTTCCTATTAAAGGTGAGATTATATGGTATTTGTCTTTCAACACCTGGCTTATTTCACTTGGCATAATGCTTTCCAGTTCCATCCATGCTGTTGCAAAGGGTGGTAGCTCCTTCTTTCTCTCTGCTGCATAGAATTCCACTGTGTATATGTACCACAATTTTTGATCCATTCATTTACTGACAGGCACCTAGGTTGCTTCCAACTCTTGGCTATTGTAAATTGTGCTGCTATGAACATTGTGGTGCATAGGTTCTTTTTTTTTAACTTTTTAAAAATATACACTCTCCTTGTTGTTTTTCTCCGTGCATAGCCCATATTAATTCTTTTTAAATATATTTTATTGATTATGCCATTACAGTTGTCCCATTCCCCCCATTCATTCCCCTCCACCCTGCACACTCCCTCCTCCAGCATTCCCCCCCTTTCCTTTATGTCCATGTGTCACAAGTTCTTTAGATTCTATATTCCCCTACTATTCTTGCCCTCCCCCTATCTATTTTCTGCCTACCATCTATACTACTTATTTTCTGTACCTTCTCCCCCCTTCTCCTCCTCCCACTCCCCTGTTACTAACCCTCCATGTGATCTCCATTTCTATGGTTCCACTCCTGATCTAGCTGTCCTCTTAGTTTGCTTTTGTTTTAGGTGTGATTGTTAGAGTTTGCTGTCCTTTCACTGTTCATATTTTTCATCTCCTTTTTTCTTAGGTAAGTCCCTTTAACATTTCATATAATAAGGGCTTGGTGATGATGAACTCCTTGAATTCTTAGTTTAGTTGTTTTGATCTTACTGTTCCTTTTGCTTGGAAAACTATCTCTAAATATTCATATAGGTTATATCTTCTCATCATTCAGGTCAAAAATTTAGAGCATATATTAAATTATGGAGGAGGTCTCTTCAGCCTACTCCATCTAAATTTAGCCAAATTTCGCCCAATCCTAATCCTAGTAGCTAATTCCCTCTCATCACCCAATTTTATTTTCTTCATAGCACTTTTTATTCTCTAATATTGTCTTGTTCATTTTGTTTACATACACCTACTCAAATGCTATACATGTGCACATACAGGTACAGCCTAACACACTAAAATGTACCTCATTGGAGCAAGGGCCCTGTTATCTTGTTCCCATGGTATCCTTGATTCCCAAAACAGTGTCAGGTACTTAGAAAATATTATTCTATAAACTTATGGTGAACGATTGAGGAATGGGTAAATATAGAGAATCAAAAAATAAACAAAGGAATGGGTAAACACAGAGAATCAAATTGAGTATAAATCAAATGTATATTCTGAAGTTTTATTAATGTTTAGAAATGCTCAAAAAATGAGAATATTAAATTACATTTTGATGAATATTAAGAAATTCATAGATATTTGTTCAAACTACCTAAATATGGAAAACATTTAAGATGTTTTCTAGCAGATGTAATTTGTTTTGAAATTGTCTGTCTTTCTAATTTTATGCAAGATTTGCTTTTCACTTGACTAGGTAGAAAGCATGGTATGAGATTTGTGAAGCTTCTTAGATAAGCTTTGCTTTAGAATTGCAAAGTGTGCATGTTTTATTCATATCTACTGATCTGGTGGGGTGCAAATAACTGACATGAAACAACTGTGCAGAGTTTAAACTTCTAATATCGGCTCTCAAAAGGTTAGGAATGGTGGTAAATAGATGATAAAGAGAATGTGAAGAAATAAAAGTTCTTTAACAGAAAGAGCATATATGTCAATAAATCTAACTTTTTTGGTTAAATAGTCTTGATATAATATTCACCCTAATTTAAAAAATGAACCATTATAATTTTGGTTGAATTACATAATGTGGAATGTTCTTTCTAAATAATTTTTCCAAATATACTATAAAATGTTTTGCTAGAAATTGAACTTAACATTAATGATTCCTAAGTATTTTATTGCTAAATTATAACTTGTTTGTTAAATCAATGCACACAGTGAACTACTCCGTGGAAATCAGTCATCCGATTGTTTGGATTGACACTTAACCTCTGATATGTTTTTCTGAAGGACGTCGAAGATGGAGAGGATGACCTCCCATGTCGGAACAGCGACCCCATAATTGGGGCACACACAGAAAAGCTCTCCCTCAAAGCCAGTGATTCCATGGATAGTCTCTACAGCAGGCGGAGCTCGTCAAGTAAGGTTATAAAATAAGAAAAAAGATCCTGGGCAGGGGATCTAAGTTAACTAGAAACAACAGCTTTGCTTTTTGGGGACTGGTTTGTCAAATTAGCAACAAGTTTCCACCTACCTGGTAAAACAAATAGTGAAAATGTATGATGTGTTGAATATAAAGAGTTGCTATTGTTTAAACTGGACTAAATATATTAGGTAGAATTATAAATTATTTTGAAATTTTTAACACTGTGATCAGCAGGGCTCTTGGGGATTTGCCTCAAAAGGTCATGTTAGATGATTAAAAATGTATCCCTAAAATAAAAATGTATGCTGGGTTGAACTAGCATTATCTTGGATCAAAATTTTTAAAATGGCTTCCAGCATTTAGAATAACAATATTCTGTTCTTTCTTCCCTTCCTCACTTCTTTCCTTTTCCTTTTCCCTTCCTTTCACTTCCCTTCCCTTCCTTCTTTTCTTCCCTCTCCTTTCCTTTCCTTCTTTCTTTCTTTCTTTCTTTCTTTCTTTCTTTCTTTCTTTCTTTCTTTCTTTCTTTCTTTCTTTCTTTCTTTCTTTCTTTCTTTCTTTCTTTCCTTCTCTCTCTCTCCCTTCCTTCCTTCCTTCCTTCCTTCCTTCCTTGTCCCTCTTCCCTTCCCCTTCTTCTTTTCTCCTGCCCTCTCTCACATTTTCCTTCTTTTCTTTTCCTCAAAAAATAAATCTAAAAAACATTTGTCATTTACATAAATTCTGACATTCACTTTTTAGGTTTCCACCCAGCATTAGTGAGAGTAAAAAATATGTAAATATTTTATTTATTTTTAAATATATTTTATTGATTATGTCATTACAGTTGTTTGATCTCCCTCAGTAGGAATATCACCAACTAGGTTACAAAAAGGAATCAACACATATTCAATAAGAATTTTCTTAAAACATTGACATTTTTTAAGAAGAATATCACTCAGGATTCAGTCACATATTCAGCTACAATATTTGGTTGAAACTACTGCTATTGTAGGGTGCTTATCACTTTTTATATGCATACTGTTACACATCCTTCTAATCTTTTAAAGGCTTTAAAATTTTTTTGCAAAGGTGATTTTTCATTTTCTTTTAAATCAACTGCTTCTGTTATTTGAAGTTGTATAGCAAAGACCAGATGTTTGAAATATCTTGAATTTTATTTCTATTTTTGATTGGCTGTAGAACAGTTACTTTGTAAAAATAAAAAGCTACTGCAAAACATTTGAAGGAGAAGATTTTGCATGTGTGAAATTCAGATATCATTAGTATTCATTTCCACTAGAAGTTTTAAAATTCTAAATTGTGATGCTGAATGTGGGAAGAATTGTTTTAATAAAAAAATGTGCCATAAAAAGCCAGGGCCTGGCATGGTCATGAAAGAGAAGGTATAAGTACATGGTGCCCCACTTAGCTGTTACATACAACTTACTTTCTGTAATTGGAACTCACCTTTCATTTACACCAATTCACATACAATCTGGAGCATCCCTAAGGATCTTTACCTAATTTCTACAGTTACTGTAATATGTGGTAGAGAAACCGAGGTTATTCCATCATCAAACTGAGCACCAAAAGGCCACACTGAAGGGGAAATGAGAAGACAATTGAGTGTGATGAGGAAACTGAGAGTTTCTCTCACTGAGAACCATTCTTGTTCCCAGACAAGTAGCAAAATGGAATGACTTTTCTTTTTTTCCTCTGTGGTTCAAAACCAAAAATGAAGGGGACCAAATAACAAGAATTGGAAGAAGCTTAAAAAGTCCAGTTTAGAACAGTTTTGAAAACCACCTGTACAAAATTATCTGGCTTGTATAGGGAATTAATCTAACCTGTCTGCTCCTTTAACAAGTATCCAATGCCCAGAACAGTCTTCTACTGGATGAGATCACGAATCACAGAGACCAAAGTCAGAAGGTACTTGGGTTCCTTGAGGAAAGAAGGTTGAGGAAAGGGTGGTCAAGCTGGATGAATAAAGGTTAAAAGTGGCTTAGAGGACAGAAGTTGCTGATGGAGAGTGACTGGGAGGAAGAAACAAGGTGGAGACTTACAGCCTCCACAGGAGGATGGGTTCCAATGCTTGAGCATTGTCCCTGCTTAGTTGTTTCCAGATGATGGTTCAGAATGTATAAACCTTCAGTGAAAGCTGTTAACCTCTGCTTTGCCTTCTTCAGGTGGCATAACAAGCTGTTCAGATGGTACGAGTAATCGGGACAGCTTTCGACTCGATGATGATTGCCCCTACTCTGGACCATTCTGTGGCCGTGCCAGAGTGCATACTGATTTCACACCAAGCCCTTATGACATTGACTCCCTCAAAATCAAGGTTCGTGTCTATCATATCTACATTCTATGTGGTCTATCTAATGCCGGTTGTGTGATCCATTTCAGAAGCATAAGCACTGAGAACTAGGGGGAGTAGATGTGAGTGTGTTCTTCCCATCAGTAGAACTGGGGACTGGTTTATTGTGGCAGAATTTAAACAAAACATTTTAGGTAGGGTAGGGGGATCATCCTGTGAGGTTATTAGCATGAGTTACTGTTACACAGATAATGCAAAATTATAGTTTATTCAGGAAGATGGAATTATGTATGTTTTTCTAAAAAGCAGATGCCCAGCTCTGCCTAATTCCTGAAGTGAAAATAATAAAGCCAAGGAGAAGAAGAAAAGGTGGAGATACCAGGCAAGAGTGCAGCAGAGCAAAGGCCTTGGGAACCAGACTTGGTCCAGGCAACTTCAGTATTTAAATTGGTTACCTTGAATACCAAACCTCCTTCTACCAATGATATTTCCCCCTGAATTCCCTCTTCTTACTCTTATGCTCTGTATTTATTGTCTATTACTGTATAACAAACTGTACACACTGTGGGGCTTCAAACAACACAACTATCTTATTAGTTAGCTCACAGTTCTGTAGATCATAATTTGGGCATGGCGCATCTGCTTAAAGTCTCACTGGGCTGAAATCAAGGTGTCATCTCACCTAAGGCTCTAGTCATCATCCAAGCTCACTGGGAGCTATAGGAGTAAATCTCAGGCTTTCTTGCTGGGTTTCAGTTGGAGGTCATTCTCAGCCCCTGAAGGCTGCCAGCCATGGCCCTCTCTCTGTAACGGGGCTGTTTGCTTCTTTAAGGCCTGCAGGAGAAGAACTCATTCACACTTCAAATCCCTTTATTTTTAACTGCTTCTATCTGATTACATCAGAAAACACAAAGATAATTACAAAATTAACTAATCTGGGCCATTACTTACATGTGCATAGTCCATTCTGTCATATAACACAATATAATCATGGGTGGGAAATCCTTCATTTTCATTGTCCTACTTACACTCAAGTGGGGGAGCTGGTTACACAGCACAAACAGAAGAAGATTTAGAGTTAAAATACTTTATAGAAGTTAAATTATTCCTTTTAGTAACACAAAGTGCTCTATAACTAAAAGACAGGATTTATGAATTTTTTATACCATCAACACCAAGCCAATGTTAAGCAATAATTTAATAAGTTATGAAGTATTGATATTATTATTTAACATTCAGGGCACTCAGCTCTTCTCTTCATCCATTCTGTGGTATCAGTCAAACTAAGCTTAGCTAGAGATTGAAGAGAACATCATTCTTCAGTATTAGCCCCTTAGTCATTTCCTAGTCCTGTCTTGGGGGAAGGATGCTGGCAGTCGAGTAAAGGACGTGGCAGGAGGGCAGTAGAAGGGAATAAACTGAACGTGTTTTGATTCAGGGCACCTTTCTACCTTCCCTACATATCAGGCCAGTTCACTAACTCTGATGCTGCCTTAAATAATGTTTGTGGAGCTCTTGTAAGACACAATAAGAATCCCCCAGTCACCACTAAAATTTGATTTCTAATGTTTCTATAAATGGCCTTATCCAAAATGAAATTGAGTCTTTGCTCAGTGACCTTTCCTGGAAAATACATTTTTATGAGTGTTAAAGATAATAGGAAGAATGTAGCAGAAGGCTGCCGTGCTTAGAAACTTCCTTTTGAGCTTCTCAGGATTTTCTCGGTCGGCTTGGCTGATCCCATTGAACCTAGGATTTGATACCCTGTAGTTAAAGGAAGTACTAGATGAACAGCTCATATGGTCTGAAAGGCAGGCTATTACAAATAGGAAAGACCAGAATAGCAGGAAAAAATACTTTTAGTAGGCCAACTTAATGCTTTGTTTGTTTGAGAGTAGATTCTTAATATGGCAAAACTATCAGGACGCATAATGTCTTCTCTGGGGTAGAAAGTTATAAGTCTCAATAGAATAACTATGTCTCTAAAATGTAGGTACTATATTTGCATAGATATCAATTTTCTTTACAAATAATTACCACTATTGGGTTTTCTACTTTTGCCTATAATTGGCAGCCTGTAGCCAAGTAGAGTCTCAAATGTGAATAAAGAAAAAGACCAACTAGTGCTTTATTCATACTTCAAACTTTGTGGTGGAGCTCAATCTAAGAATTGTCTTCTCTAGAATAATTAAGAAAATAATTTATTCTTAGTACACACACATATTTTTATTACATATTTGATTTGTACAAAGTTCTGCACAGTCTCATTATATAAGATGAATGCAATGATTCAGATATGTTTATTTTTGTACTGTAAGTGAATTTTTCAGATGAACTAGAAATACAGAGTCACAGACTTCTTTTTCTCCTTTTTCTCCTGTATGAGAGCCACTTTAGGAAGGATGGCTTGTGTTTTGCTACATATATGTTGCTTTGTCAGGAGGAATCATTTTTTAGTTCCAACCACTTAGGCTTGGATTTTGGTTCTGCCATTAATTTCCAATAAACTTGTGGGAAGCTATTTAATGTTTTTAGGGAGGTTCTGTATTAATCAGAGTAATAATGACACCTCATATAGGTAACTACAAATTGTGTTGTGGGCATAAAATGAATTTATGTAAAATTACACTGTGGTCTACAAATAAAGTTGATAAATTAATATGATACCAAAACCAAAAATATGTCATTAAATGTAGGAGTTTTTCTTCAAGCATGTTGTTTTCTTCATTATCATTAGTAAATAATTTCCTCAAACTTTTAAAAGAAACATCCCCTTAGATTTATCTCTGTTGTCTTGGAATCCCTTAACACAATGCATTCATTATTCTACTTTCTACGATTACATTCTTCCTGACAATTGTCATAGCACCAGAGTTCTCTGAAATCTGATTTGCATATTTCTTTGTCCTTAGAAAGGAGACATCATAGACATTATTTGCAAAACGCCAATGGGGATGTGGACTGGAATGTTAAACAATAAGGTGGGAAACTTCAAATTTATTTATGTGGATGTCATCTCAGAAGAGGAAGCAGCCCCCAAGAAAATAAAGGCCCACCGAAGAAGTGGAACAGAAAAATATAAGACTCTACAGGAATTCTTAGAGAGGATTCACCTTCAGGTTAGCAAACCTGCGGCTTATTTGATTTTCCTGGCATGTAGACAGAATAATTGGAGAGTAGGTCAGTCTTTGTACAGAATTGTTTAAAAAAATACATGACTTACATATAACAAAGGAAAATCTGTTTTCCAAGAACAGTTTTGTTTCTTCTTTATTACTTTTATTAAGTCAAGAATGAGTCTTGATATACCATCCTCTGGACTAAACTCTAATGGTACTAAACAATGACAGTAGAGATTAATGTTGAGAAAATGCAGCAAAAAATAAAAAAATACCTAGGAAAATAAGAGGCCCAGAGAAAACTTGTAAATGAGAATGATAAAGAGAGTGTGAAGACTGAAGATAAAAATCTTAAGAAGTAAAAGAAAAATAATGAAAAGAAAATTGTATTTTCTATAGTGCAGAGATCAAAAGCAAGTGAAAATAACTAAATAATATTGTTTTAAATATAATTTGTTAGGAAACAGAAACCATTAAGCTTGTGTAATAATTGTGTTGAGAAAACTGTGTTGTCTACATTTGTAGTCCAATTATTTTCTCATTATGTTAGTAAAATATCTACCTTGTTAAATGGTGTGTACATCCAATATACCAAAGCTCACTCAACTTACATTTTTGCAACCCATTTTAAAAATTAACACAGTAATGCTTTGATAGTTTTTGAAATTTATTAGGCAATATCCAATTAAACTTTCCTTAACTGTTTGCCCTGAATTATCTATACATAGTATTGTTTATAGACACAGTATCTAGGTCTTTGTATATTACTACTGGTACCTTCAGATTGAGTGGTCCCTGGAAGAAGAAGTACAAGTTTGAATCTTGCCTCCCTTACTTGCTTGTTCCATGATCTATGAGAAAACCAAGGTCTAAAGAAGTGAAATAACTTAGTCAAGAACCTACAGTTAGATGGTTATGTCAGAATGGGAATTTTGGTTTTCTCTGGTCTAATTCGGTGTTCCTTCTTGGATACTTTTTAAAGAATTGCCACCTTTTATTGTACATAAAGAACTAGTAATAGGTTCTTCCTGATTATTAAAACTTTAATATTTTTCTTACTCAATTTTAATAACTAAAATAAGGATATTGAAGTAATGATCAAGTAAAATGGGAGAAATTTTTGAGAAAGTTGAAAAGTATTCCACCTCACTTTGAGTTTTTTTGCTGTTAGAGGGAATAAGGGATACATAAATAATGTGCAGACTTTGAAATCAGAAGTCTCTGAATTTTTTTAGATTTTATTTATTTATTTTTAAAGCGAAGGGGAGAAAGGGAGAAAGAGGGAGAGAAACATGGATCAGTTGTCTTTCATACATGCCCCAACTGGAGACTGAATCTGAAACCCAGGCATGTGCCCTGACTGGAAACTGAACTGGCAACCTTTCTCTTTGTAGGGAAACAGTAAGCCAACTGAGCCACACTGGTCAGGGCAGAAGCTTATGAATTTTGAATTAATATGTCTTGATGCCAATGGTGAACAAGATACACGTGCTGAAAGAAGGAAACCATTCTTTTCCCAAACACAGCCCTTTTGTAAAGTTTAATAAAAAAAAAAATTTAATTAAATAGGAAGTCTTGGATTTCTTTGGTTTATAACCAAAATCCCAAGTTCACTTGTTATATAAATTCTATCTGTTTCAAATTCACTTCTAACCTACCCCAATAAATTAATGAGAATAGCTTTGTTTTGCCATCAAGAAAACAAGACATGTAGATTCAAAAACCTTACAGTAAAATACTCTACTAGAGACATTTTGTTGATAGACTTAAGGAAATGCCAGGTTTGTCAATTTAGCAATTTGAGAATGAAAAAGTGCCAAATAGAGTGAATGGTCTAGCTATTTAATTGATCCATTACTTAGCATTGTAGAGCTTAAGATATTCTTCTTTATATATGTCTTTCCAGAAGGTTAGAATTATACAGTACACACTTTTTAAAGGCCCTAGAGTTCATATGTGGGAAATTAGTACTAGTAAAATAAAGTTAAGCAAAAGTTTTATTGGCATCTTTGGTTTCTATATTTATTTCTACATTTTGTTTAAATATACAGAGAACTATGAATAAGGTATTTGAGTCTGACTAGCTCATATTATAGATATTTTTTCTCCCACACAGGAATACACATCAACACTTTTGCTCAATGGTTATGAGACCCTAGAAGATTTAAAGGATATAAAAGAGAGTCATCTCATTGAATTAAACATTAAAAACCCAGAAGACAGGATGAGGTTACTATCAGCTGCTGAAAATCTCCTTGATGAAGAAAGTAAGTTTGTGCACCTACTCTTCTCTCTAGTGATAATCACATTTTAATATAAAAAGTAAAATCATTAAAAACAAAGTCCCAATTTAATTTACTGAGAATGATATAATGCATTATTTTTCCTAAAATAAGTATTTTATTCTTATATTTAGGAAAATAACTCTGGTCAAATATAAAATCAGGAAGAGGACCCTTTTCTTATTGGACTCAGAAAATGAAAGGACTTTTCTGGGTCTCTTGTTGAGCTTCTGCAGAGCTATTAATTCACACACAAGTGCATGCCTGCATTTCCAAAGGCTGAGGGAGAGAGAGACAGAGAGACAGGGATGGCAAGAGCCATTAGTGAGAAATGTCACATGCAACTTCTGTGGAACAGCGCAGAACCTGGCTTTAAGCTAATGAGTTTTTGTGCCACACCAGAAAATTCATTTCATTACCATATAGTCACATCTCGTATGTGTTTATAATATTCTTTCAGATGTTATAATAATAGCTTGCAAATATATTCAGCATTCAATTTCATTATCTGAGTTGGTTCTGTGATTTGTAAGTATAAACTGAAGATGGAGAAATACATGCGGAATTACTTGTGGCAGAATACTGGCTACACCAACTGGGTTTGTAAAGATAGGATGACTTTTGCTTTTACAATTGCCCAGTCTGAATACTCTTCTTACTAAATCTGGTCAGGCTCCCAGAATCCTAAATTCAGAGCGTGCCAAGCTTTGCAAGGAGTATTTTGCTGGAAAAACAAAGGATGAGTGTCAAATTTTGAAGATGAAAACAAAAAAAACAAAAAACCTTAGATCATCTAATTCAAACTTCTCTTTCAAAATTAATAATGAAAATAGCCCTGACCATTGTGGCTCAGTTGACTGGGCATCATTCCACAAAGCAAGATGTCACTGGTTTGATTTCCAGTCAGGGCAGGTGCCTGAGTTATGAGTTCGATCTCTAGTCAGGGCACATAGGAGGGGCAACTGATGGATGTCTCTCTCTCACGTTGATGTTTCTCTCCCTCTCCATCCCTCTCCCTTCCCCTCTCCCTAAAAATAAATAAGTAAAATCTTTTTTAAAAAATTAAAAATAATCATTACTCTTTTGGAACATGTTCTCTGAGTAAAATTTCATGTGGGATTCTTCACATTCATTACCTTCTTTAACGATCTCTCTAAGTCCTTGAGTTAGGTAGTATTATCCCCATTTTTATAATCAGAAATTGAGAAGCTAAGTAACTTGTCCAAGCTCAGGTACCTAGTAATTGGAGAACTAGGACCAGTGTTTGTGATGCTATGCTATACTTTCTAACACTACACATAACAGCTCAGAGGAAGAGTAAAGAGGAAAGTTGTATTTAGGACACAGGCCTCCTGACTGTCCCTTCGTGGCCTTCCCTAAACCTTCCTGCTTATGTCCCACAAAATGGGCACAGTTGTACAGCATGTGTTTATATACACTCACTTTTTGTCTAGTAGGAATTGTTGTTTCTTTAGAAACTGTACCTAATTTTTTTACTGTACCTTGAAGTTTTGAATTTGCATAGATCTTAATCCTTTTCAAAAAGCTTTCATATGTATGATCAATTTGATATCTGCAGAATTGATTTCATCCTTCGGCCAAGGTGTTTATGTGCATTCTTTGGAGTTGTGGAGACTAGAAGATGCAAAAGAGAAGGGACAGGGTCACAGGCAGACAAAGGTCAAACTTAAGTAGCCAGTGTGCGCAACAGTAAAAACCCAAACAAAACTGATCAGCTTACACTGATGTAGCAATGCCTTTTAAGCAAATGAGGCAGTTTTCTTTTTTCACATCTTGTTATTTCAAAATATGTGTCCTCACTTTAAAGCAAGATTTTTTGTAGTTGATAAGGTTCAGCATTATTGTCAATACTTTCTAAAATAATTTGACATTGAAGTAGAGGGAGGGAGAAGACTGAGCACGTTTTGAGCACTTGTACATAATTGCTTTTATTCTACAATACCACCCATGTAGGTATTTTGCCCGTTTTGAAGATAAGAAAATGTTTCAGAGATGAATTTCAAAGAGGCCAAAGAGCTAGACAAGTAGCAGAGATGGAGTTTTAATCAAAGGCAGTTTGCTATAAAAATGCGACTTCTTTCTTCCACACATGCAAACTAGTACATATGAAAAGAATAATAAATATTTGAACATTTAAAAATTTGACTTTTCCAATCTTCTCAGCAGCTTCAGTTTAGCTTTCCATCACAAAAAGTGGAAGTTAGTATTTCAGTGAGAAGATAAGCCTCAGAGCAGCCTGACTCCCTGCATTAGTGACTGGGAGGGGCCGCGGGGTGGGGCAGGGCTTTCCAGCAGAGGCCCACAGAGGGAAGACCAGCACAGGGCCTTGTGCCCTCTTCATTTTTTCATTCCAACTCCCTCTATACCCATCTACTTTCTAGATTAACAAAAAGAATTATGATTTATACATGATATCATATTAGACATAGGTGTGATTTTTAAAAACCATCTGACCCAATTTTTTCCTTTGCAAGATAGAGAAACTGAAACTTGAGTAGGTGTCTTTCTCAAGGTCACACATTTAGAACCTGGTCTCCTAAATGTAGACAATGGAAGCACGTACTATTATATTTTGCTTTCTGGAAACAAAACAAGATCTTCAAAGCATAATGTGAAATTCAGTGTTTTCTATAAAACATACAAACTTCCCAAATTATTTCCCTTATAAAACTTTAGAGAACAGTGCTTGAAGGTCCCTAAAAGTTGATCATTTAGTAATAGCCAGTCAAGTACAAACATACATTCACTGAGCCAAGTTCTGGGAGATGAAAAATGAAAAAAATGCAGATTCAACTAGTGTTTGTTGTCCACACACAACACAGGGATTTTTCTTATTTTAATCTTAGGGCCTAAAGTACTATTAGAATATACATGTCAAAAAGATGTATATTGCATGTTCGGCTATTCTGACTGAAAGCTATTTATCTTATATGAAACTGCTTTGCTTGAGAAATAAAGAAGAATGACTTCTATTTGTAGATAAGATGTTGTGTTCTGATGATTCGGCACCATGCTGCCATGTGCTTATTTTTATCTATTCTTTACTCCGTGAATCATATCTCCTACAACCATGTTAAAGATTAAATGCGCAACCTTCATGTACCTTGAATGATAAAGACCTTGAATATATGGATGTAAAAAAGGAAGACAAATACATGCCACAGTCATAGCTTAAAAATAGTTAGTGTGTGTAGAAGAATGAGGTATGCAAATTGGCCATAATTTTACATATGCATTTTATTCTGATCATTGAATAGTATCAGCTTGGGAACATCAACAAATTCCTAGTTTAGAGCTTCATTGCTTCTCACGTTGGGAACTGGGATGTTTTGCTTTGCTAATCATTCAGTGTAAAGACTGAGTGACTGTTCTGAGAACAAGGACTAAAATTTTGAGATAATGTAAAAAGACCACAGCCCCACATGAGCTTTTTATACGTCTAGAGGAACGAAGAGGATGGGGGATGGGGCAGGGACAGAAACAGACACCTAAGACCTAGAGCAAGCCATTTTCTTTTTTCTCTTAGGCCAAAGTGGGTAACATAGCACTCACTTGGACATTGAAAAGGTAGACTGAATTAAACTTTTTATAGGTTACTGCTTGACAGGAGGTAAAGATGCTCCTCCCCCAAGCTGACAGAAGGGTTGGCAAGTAGTCCTGAGCTGATCACAGGATTATCTCTAAAGGTGAACACTTTGGGGTTCCACACTCCTGGCGAGACCAATACAGGGATATTCTGAACTTGCTCCCAAGCTGCCCTAGACTGAGCAGAACTAGGTCACTGGTTTTCAGTGGGCGATCCAGATGAAGTTAGAAGAAGAAAAAACATTGGGTGACACTCAGTTCTTGAAGAGGCAAAAGAGCAGAATTTGTTTATCTTGTGCTCTTTAAGGTTTCTCTATCATCTGAATTTTAAAATGGTCTGTTTATTTAAAATAAATATTCCCAGCAAGCAAGAAAAAGAGTAGAGCTTATATGTGTGTGTGTGTGTGTGTGTGTGTGTGTGCATTGCTACATAAACACAGCCTTCAAGACCCCTTTGCCTTGCTGAGAAATGTCTCTTTAGAATAAGTTAACTGCTATTAATAGCAAATATTTTCTCTTTATTCTGAACTTGTCCTTCTTTTCCCACATTTAGAAACACTTTGATGTGTGTTAAGTGTCTATGAGAAAGTGTAATGTTGTCTTTGGGGAAAATGGGTGGTGGAAATATCTTGTTTTCCCTTTAACACAGCAATAGTTAAATTTTAAATTGAAAGGAAAAAAACTTAGTAACTAAGTAAGTAAACTGTACAAGATTCTGTATATATTTAAGGCACCTGCAACCTTTGCTTGCAGTGCTCGATGAGGAGGAAGGGGGGAGGGAGGGCTGTGTGCCAGGCCGTGGGCACCAGCTGTGGTCGCAGCAGCCCCTCATTGCTCAACTATCCCCAGTGGTGCCTTCCTGCCTGCCTCCCTGCCCAAAACGATGCAGGGCAAATGGCAGGGCCCAGCCAGGAACCTGGAACATGAGCCACCAGCAGGGGAGACTTGTAGTTATGCCAAACAACAGTCCAGCAGTTGGCCTGACAGTGTGCCAGGGAGTCTGGTGCCCTAGCCCCTGACATGTGTACCTGGTGTTTCCAACTTGCTTGCCATATGATTTGAATCTAGATTCAAGAAACATTCATACAGCTTTTAAGAAAAAGATAAGCTAACCATCCACATACAAAGAATAGAGAAGGCACATAGGCATTTTACTATTCTGTATTTACAAACATGCATTTAATATTCGTGTCTAGTCATAGCTGTTTGGCCTTATGCAATTTAATTTCTTCAAATTTCTTTTTGGTTTTACTCCTAAGATATAATTTGTGATAGATGTCATATTTTGTGTGATACAAAACCAAGTAAAATAAGATATAAACATTTATACTCTTCTACCAGAGAACGATTCCCAGAGTAAGTTCATAGAATTTTTACCT